CACAACTGAACCGAACGTCATCGAGTCTACTACACCTTTAAACATTCCATCTAACACCTAAATCCTTTAACAACACATATCGATCAGTGAGACAGTCCACACGACCAAGAAGTTTACGTAACACTGAAGATTTGGGATACGTACAAATGATTCAACAGAAATACAGTACATGACATTTTAAGTGGAAAAGGGATGTAAACAGAAATTATATGAAAGGTTGGGGCAGACAGCGGGCGGGCCGTGAGCGATTGAAAGGTACCAGAGCCGAATGTCGATCGAGACAGCTGTTTGACCTTTTCTACATCTAGTACTTAACAACCGGCTCACATCGCATCTCTATTCCGCCCCGCTCGGAGTCTGTCTTCGCCATAATAATTGAAGATGTTCCCATGGAGATAAGGGCCTACTACCTGTAGGTGAAGGCACTCTGCAGACATATCTGACTTCAACATGTCTTTTATATACATCTATTCACACACAAATAACCCGAAATATAGCCGCCATATGGTCTGATTGGCGACTTGTTGATCTTTTGCTTACAGTTTGTTCTTATTGGTTGAAACAATGAATTCTAGAATGCACGAATCAAAAATCGCCCCTATAACTTTACCGTGTATATTGCTGTATGTACATTATCAGCTTTACATCAAACTTCTTGCTAGAACTGTATTAGATACACAACAACTCATAGAAATAGAACGTATCCAAACATCACTGTGCACATTATTCTTATGGATACAAGTCGAAGCGTAGACGATTCACATACGTAATCTTTAATCAATTTAGGATACAACACCATATCATCGTCATCACATACATTATCACTTAAGATATTAATAATTTATTGCACATAAGTGATGTCACTTCATGGGCAGTGTTAGATTCAACAATGGTCTCTTAATATTTTTTTTATAATAGATGATTAAGTATCAAAAATAATTCAATTATTCTATTACATTATTAAAGATTAATGACAGCTATTTTACAAACCCGGCCGTGCATTGTACCAACTGAATCGTGAGTTGTGTACAACGTGCACCGACCATCATTACAACTCGCATAACATTACAACAATTACATTTATTTCAAACAGTATCTCAATAGATTTAGGGATCTATTTAATTTATATGGAAAGCTTTAATTTAAACTTATATATACCTTAATTTCTTTTAAATAAGAAATTAAATTATAATAGACAATGATTAAATTGTATAGGTAAAAGATAACTATCACCTATACAATTTATTAATTGTTGATGTGTGTGATTTAATATATAAATATTATCTAGATCAAAATTTGATAGTAACCGTGTATTTATGAAATTCTTTGCGAATGTCGAGTGAAGTAAGAAGTAGTATTATTAGTACATAGTAGAGATAGTTTTGAATTGTATTAATTATCGATATAGAAATTGTGTATTTATATAATCAATATCTTTGTCAAAAAGTATATTATTTAAGGACAATCAGCTTTGTTATTTGACAAGATTATGCTTTGTTCTTAAAAACATAATATGGAGAACATAGTTTGGGGACTTTTAATTTATTTGATGCAGTTGTAATGGTGGTCAGATATGAATGCTTAGGCAAATAAACCCATAATGCCACATGATGAAAGTACAACTACTACATACTTTTTCACCATCCTTGTATAACGATAGGCACGCCCCCCCATTTAATAATCAAGTGTTGCAAGCGATGAAACCTCATCAGTATTGAAAAGGTCGGTCACCTACTGGAACACGTTTGAAAATGGATTTGTTTTACTAATAGATGATGAAAGTGGCATTTGTGGGCTTATCGAAGCGTTCGACATGAGGGTAACGCGCGGTATATACCGCTCGGCGGCTCACACACGTCACGACTACACTATTTAGTGTTGGCACACGACAAGTAAACAAACTAGTTGAGTGTTATATCTAAAGCTGCGTCTAAATACAGACCACATTGTCTCACTGATCCCCACTCGAGCACAAGGTGCCGTATCGCGGTGATCGATCGAGCGACGAGTTGACGGACAGTTCTGCCGATCGCCGTGACTCGACACTCACACATACACGTACATTGCATAATTATCCCAGATTAAAAAGTATCACTTAAATAATATACAGTGGAGGAATTTAGACCACTAATAAGAAAATGGACGATTGAAACTCTCACAAGGAATGAGGACGTACATGTTAAAATTCAAAACTATAGATGTGAATGAATCGAAACTACAATTACAGAATATCAAAAGTCAAGAACACATGTTCTATTTATCTAGCAAACAATTAACTTTCAGAAATACTAATAACTATTTACTCGAATCGAAATTATAATAAATTACTGTTGATATCCTTTAATTACTAGTTTTTAAATCTATGAGTGTTCGAAATATCAATATACGTTTAAAGAAAGATATCACTGTGCGTATACGCTTTTGCTAATATCTACAGTTTTGGGAAGTGAAATTTTACCATTTAAATCATTTGACATTTGGATTTCTGAAACGATAGGTATATGCGCTGAGCCACCAACTACATGAAACTGAGTCTAAAACTTAATTTTAGAACATGTAACGTCAACCAAAAAATAACTAGCCGATTTTATTTTCATCAAACACTAATGTACTTTATATAGTATTCCTCAACTGTATAATACCTATATTACATCGAAAACTAAGCGTAAAATTCTTGTCATAATCGACTGAAAAAATATGTTATCTTTATGATTCTATTACAATTTTATTGACACAATAAGCGTAGGTCTCAATTTAGTTCATTCGTATTTTATTGAATCAATATTTAAAATTACAACTATTATAATTTTAATCAGATTCGTTTGTAGACAATTGCACTGCCTCTCGCCCCGCACTAAACTTTACATATTCGCACATAATCACTGCCGGAACTCCATATTGTAATCAGGCTAAATTTCCATACATTAACTTGTATAATACTACACTACAGCCCGTTATCTATTCACTGAAAATACTAACAAATTTGATCTACAAGTTTATACTTGAAAGTGCGGAATACGAGGTTACTACGGATATTCTTAACCAAGTTCTTTTGAAATTTCAGTTCAGCTCGGCAGAGGTCCTATTGCTGATCATAATTCACACAACTAACTGTAATCTAAATAAATGAATTTAAAACTTTCATTATGAAATTAATAAAATTACATTTATATGGAACTTTAGCGGAAAAGGAAAACAATTTCCTAATTATTATTTTTATCGAACTCGAAACCTTATTAATTTTGGCAGACCAGCTAACTCTGTTTTTCTGTGTGTGTTTATGATGAATTCTAAGCAAATTGCTTATAATTCATTTAAACTTTACATTTGTAGACTACCACTTCTATTGCAAAAAAAAAAACTAGAAATACTGAGGCCCATAAAATCATTAACATTATTATATTTTGATAATGTATATACTTTATAACATTTTATTACAATATTTCAGCTACTTTTGGAGTTATTTATTTGTGATTGCAAGAGTCAGAGTTGGTTGGTTTGCGAGTGAAGTATAGGCAGCTTTTTTAAAATACGGCGTAATGATTAGTAAGGGTGCGGGACTTGATCGATGCATCGCTTTTTCTTAACGCGATTGGACTAAATAGATAGTGTCTCCAATTAAAAGCATTTTGTGCGTACATTTCAATTTAGTATTCTATATCAGTAAACTATTTTTTTTTACATTATAACATATTTACATCCTATAACTGTGATATTATTAAATCTAATGGAAATTAGGACATATTAATAATCAAATTTTGTCATATTTGCATCTACAACAAGTCTATTGTAAGTATAGTTAACGAGCGTTTGAAGAGGAAGCGACCGAGTTTTAAGATATCTGAATATTATTATTAAAGTATGATAATAGTAAATTCATTATAACCCTACAATTTATTAATTGAAGTACAATTTGTCCGAGCTGACTATTCCTAAATAATTTAGTAATATAATTATTTGTGCATGAACGGAACACTATGTTAAGAACTAGATGTGATACCTATTCCGCACTTTCAATTAAACTAATATTACATACAATATGAATGAGAAATTAACGTTATTCTTTCTTATTATTTTTATCTATTCAAGAAGCTATCGTAAAACACCTATATTATTGAGCAAAACATAAAATTACATAGTCAATAGAGTTAAAAGTTTGTACCAGGTGTACTAATAGTTCAGTGAAGAGAGAACGACGTTCGGTATCAAATTGTAACGGTATTCAAAATACATTTAAAATTATTAACTAACGGACGAAACCAATAAACAATCTAATTAAGAACTACTATGTTTGTTTTATCCGATACTGTATACATTGATGCTTTTTGATGCGTATTGGTATAATATCACGTATTTATGAAGTAATGCATTACAAAATTACTTTAGATTGTTTATTAATTTGAACCGTGAAACATAGCCGACTTCATCGAGACGGATTGTGTCCAAACATAACAAATTGAAAAGTTAAACACGTTACGGGATTAAGTAAGTACTTAAGACTTAAGTTATTTGTACAAAAACGATTCATAAGCTAGTTACTGATATTCTATGTAATTGGTGTTCATTCCATTATCGGCTATTGAAATATAACAGAATATTGGTTATACAGATCGTTGTAATATTTCAGTTAGAAATTTAACAAACGACTGTCATACATAAGTAGACACATTCAATCTAATATTTGAACTAGCCCGTGAACAAGTTCAGAATTAACAGAACGGCTTCGCTCGGCCAGTTTAAATATTTCTCACATGAGTTCTTTATTTGAGATGGCTATCATCGATATACAATAAAAAAATACACGCACTAGAAGCGAACCAAACTGTCATTGGTTTTTTTTTCTAATTTAAATTGTCTAGTTACAAAGAGGTGTAAAGTGAAAGACTAGGTTTTGGGTACTTTTTAATTGTATATCATAGTGGATGAAGTCTACTGTGCAGGCGTGTGGCCAGCCGCTAGTGGTGGTGCGAGTCGCGGTGCCTGCGCGAGCGCGGCTCGTGCTACCTGCGCCCGATCAGCCCGTTGGAGTTGCCGCTCGTGGTGGGCGACATCTCCAGCTCGACCAGCAGCGGGAAGTGATCTGGGGAATTTAATAGCTTTTATTAGATGACGCGATCGTATGAGTTCAATATAATAGAAAGAAAATCCGTTCTGTTGACCGGATTATGCAGACGTTTGGATCGTGGACTAATACAGTGGGTAAGTGACGCGCGTAGTAGAACAACTAGAAAGAGGGTAGACAGATTTGTCCACTCGTAATTACTCGGTTCATCTATGATCATGGCGCTTGCAACATTGCCGAAATCTCAGAAACGAATCCCTGAAAATTAACATGGTAAATATCCCGGATATAATAATTGAGCAAGTGAAAATGGCCATGGTAATTTACATCAATACAACGGATAAGGGTTTAGGTTCGTTGGTGTTCTGAGACAAGAAAATATAACTAAAAGACTGAGTAATCACCTGAAGGTACATGAGGATGTGGACATCCGACGACCTTGTGTTCGCGGAACCAGTCTTGAGAGAGCGGCCCCAAGAGACCGAGAGGCGTCATTGTTTGCTTACTGTAGAATATGTAGTCGATTATACCTTTAAAGTCAAACCTGGAAACAAAACAAATTGAACATTAGCTATCATATTTAACATCCTGGATACGGAAAAAAAAAATCTTTAAATATGGGAACCACATATCGATACTAAATACTTTTCTAATTAAGAAACATTCTTACAAAATCTTCAATACGGTCAACTAAGAACACTAAAACTGCATCCAAAATATATTACTGGATGCTCTCTTAGAAAGCATCTATTTTACATAATTTATTTATTTTAGACAAAATACGACGAGTCTGGCAAAAAGAATTAACTTCTTAAAAAAAAAGAAGAAGACTTACGTGTAATTAGTATAGGGCATTATGTCTTCGCTGTAGGCGGAGGCTAATTTGAAATTGTGCGTGAATTCGTGTTCTGAGCCAGGCATTCTTCGCAACGTTCCCGCGTACCCGAGCTCTTTGAAGTCGCGGTGCTCTGACGATACTCGCCCCGCCGATAAAAACTCTACCACACCTGAAAACAAAACAGTTGTACTTTAACAAGGGGCCTATTATATTTTAGCCAGAGAAGTATTTTAGGATTCCTACAAAGAATCCGTCATAAGGAGACTCATCCTGAAAACACTACAAAAGAAGTAAAATTTTACGAAAGTGATGAGTATTTCGTAGACTCAAATCTACCTATAAATCTATAAAATTGAAATATTTTGAATTGCTTTAATATAGTTGATCAGGTACTATTGATTTAAGTTACACGTAAATTCTGAAAGTTCTATTAGAGTTAACCTTCGATTGTTATTACCTATTTTAACGATCAACTTTGGGAAGGATATCGATTGTTAAATCCAGACTGATTTTATGTTTTAATCCATTTCGTTCATTCTTAGCACAAGAATGGGATTGTAGGTGATACATGTATCCAAATAAATGCTCATTTAGATTAAAAGATGACGTAAAAAAAATAAAATAAAAATCGTTAAAAATATCAGACTTTTTTTTATAATTCGTGATTCTTGGGAAATAAAAATCAAAATGAGTAAACAGAACATTTTACTAAAGAAAAAATACCACATTACGACCTATTCCTCCTACCTACCAAATATACAAAACAAAATACATTAAAATCGGTCGAGACGTTTCGAAGGACGTAACACTAGATATTTATCTATACGATTTCCATATTGTGACATCAATAATATTAAATGACACTTACCACTGTCCGGCAATGAGTTAAAATCTCCACACAGCAACAGCTGTACGTTGTCCCGATGTCCGGCGAGGCGCAGTGTCCGTGCCGAGTCGTCCAAAATGTTCCGAAGTTCATTACTTAACATCATCGTCTGGATTAACTTTACATCGCAAAACTCCGGGTCCCAATGGATGTGGGCAGTGCACACTAAGATCGGCTGGGCGAGCATCGATGAATCTGTTGGAAGTCCTGTAACCAAAGGAAATATTGTTCCATTAGAAAGCAAGAAAATCAAGATGCCGTATTCCAAAAAATGAACTCAAGTAAAGGTTATGAGTTTAAACAGCACTCACTAATAATGTTAGCCAAGAATTCCCCAAAAAATTAAATGTATGATTTATATTTGAAATACTCTATGGTAACTGCGACCTAACCACATAAATTGGCTTTTGTATCTGAGTAAAATATTACACAATCATTACATTTTAGAGTTTAAAAATATATCAGAATTCTTAAAGAAAAATACTAAGATCCTGTAGTTACTTAGTTCCGTAGTTTGCAATAGGTACTTGTGCGCTCTGCCCTAAACATACTTTTTCGGTATTTAAGTATATGGCAACGTTTCGTTATCTTATATTAGATCCAATGTGACATAGGTGAAAAATGTATTAATATGACAATTTAGAATTTAAAGGCCGTAAAACTAAGGTAAAATGTATGCCGCGCTGTGTCACCACACTAATTAAATTCTTGGTTTAATCTTCGAAATAGGTCAGCGGTTAGGGCGTGGTTGTGTAACCATAATCTTTTATTATTTAGTACGATATGGTACTATTAAAATTTATTGTAACTAGCTGCGTGCGGTTTATCAAATATATTTCGATTCCTTGCTCAACCCATGTGGAGACTAATTTTTTTTCGGGATAAAAAAATAGTATATGTGTTAATAAATCTAGGGTGTCAGCTACTTCCAGCCGTTTGAGGGTGAAGTAACGAACATACAAACAACACACACACAAACTTTCGGCTTTATAATTGTGATGTTGAAATATTTTTGCTACAAATCGATTTAAAATCATTTCTTTTCTTTTCTAAATGATTTTAAATATAAAACTTAAAGTTGTGGCATTCATAAATTTATAATAATGACATGCAATAACTGATACGCCTCAAAAGGTAAGATTTATTTTTGGATTTACGAGGTTTACGTGTCGCAGACATAGCCGCTGCTTTCATATTCGAATCGTATATTGAAGATGCACGTATGTGCAATTATATAGCTTTCTAACATCAAGTAACAGGGAATAGTGGTAAGCATTCACTTATGCAATTACAGGTACCATAGGTCGAGTTAAAGGTTATTTAAATAAACTTTAGTTAATAGTACGTAGGGATTCAAGTGTCATTTCATAGAGATAACAAGCGTTAAGAAAACATTATTCGTATTTGTAATATTTTATTTGTACAATCTCAAACTCATAGAACAGTAGTTCGGTATATGATTTCTGTTCACATTTGCCGAAATAATATCAATTACTGTACATAATAATACCCCTTAATCTTAAAAAATACTAGCTTCAGCCGCAGGCTTCGCGCTACTCGGAAAATTTTAAACCTTCCCGACCTTCTTCAGGTTTTTTTATGACTATGGGATTCCGTAAATATTTTATAATAATAATGTTTATTTTAGTCAAGTTACACATACCTATATGTATTTAGACATTTACTGTGAAAGCTACTCTAGGCACAGCCTATGTAGGCCGTAGAAGAGTGGGCGGCCTCGGTGGGCCTTTGTCTTCTAAACAGAGGCTCCACCAACACGTGCGTGCGACAGCAGGGGGGGTCGATAGTGGACCTTTTGTTCGCTACCCGTGCCCTCGCCGCACAAGTAAGGAAGAGGTTGAGACGCTCTCGGATCACCTGTATATCCGATTTGAGCTCTCCCGGACCCAGGACTCCAGTAGGGTTCACGTGGCGCGGCGTTCTCTACGTTTATCGCGGTGGTCTCTGCGATACTAAACAGGGACCTACTAGAGGAGGCAACCATTATTCATTCTTGGCTGTCTCCGCAGGCTCCGGCTGAGGAGGTCGACATGGGGGCTGGTAGCTTTCGTGATGCGATTACGCAGATCTGCGATGCGGCCATGCAACGCATCCGAGGTCGTCGGCTTCCAAGGAAGGAGGTCTACTTGTGGTCTCAGGAGTTGGCAGACCTCCGTGCGGCCTGTACTCGTGCCCGGAGGTCCTTACACCCGCAGTCAGCGGCGTCATCAGCGGCGTCACCGTGAAGACGGTGAGAAGAAAAGGCTTCATGAGGAGTACCGAGGGTCGCGGAAAACTCTGAAGCTGGCCATTAGCCGCGCCAAAGAAGTTAAAAGAAAGGAGATGCTGGAGGGTCTCGATCGTGACCCCTGGGGTCGCCCTTATCGCGCGGTGCGACAATAGCTCCGTGCGTTGCCCCCCCCCCCCCTTACGGAAACTCTCCAGCCCAGCTTCCTGCAGGAAGTGGTGGAGGGCCTATTCCCGCAACAGGCGGAACACACACCCCCGTCGATGGCTTTCTTAGCCGGTGACGACGGGGAGAACGCGGTTGATGTTCCGACCGTCCGGGATTCGGAGGTGGGGGCGGCTGTTCTACGGATCCGTCCCAAGAACACCGCCCCTGGGCCGGAGTGCTGGCCCTAGCCCTCCACCACATGGCAGACCGGCTCAGAGAGGACATTTCCTTGAGTGCTGGAGGAGCGGGAAGCTGGTCCTAATGAAGAAGCCGGGACGGCGGCTGATTCGGAGGAGGGAGGGGGCGGGTTTTTTTAGAACGGTGGCTCTTGCACTAGGAATATATGCTGTGTCACGGGGGACTTAACGGACATGAAACGGACACAAAGAACGTCCAGACTCAGAACAACAATTTGTGGATCACACAAAGTGGTGTCCAGTGGGATTGAATCCACAACACTTAGCGGTAAGCGGCGTGGTGACCGCTGAAACCACTACGCCAACAACGCAGTCAATCATTCGATCAAGAATTCACTCTACCCTACTTTAAACAAAATCATAGTGTAAGTATACTACAGGTGCAGTCACATATTCAATATTTTCTTTAATAATGTGTATCTATTAGCTAAAAGCTTTTCATCACTTCGTTAAAAAATAAATTGTCTTCGAAATGAAATTATATAAAGCAACATTGATTTCCCTTATAATTTATTTCATACGCGTACATAAAATTGATGAAGCGTTGGCAAATGAAGTTTAATGAAATCTTTTATATAATATATTACAAATGCTATGCTATGCTATCGAACCCACAGCACTTAACGCAGTAGGAAACAGCGAGGTGACCGCTTAAACCACTACGCCATCCGTGCAAAGTTGCCAAATCATGGCACGTTGAACTATCACCTAACATATAATACCCACCTAACACATATTCAAGTTTTATTATATTTCATTAATGTATTGTGTATGTCTCTGGACTTCAATTATGTTAAATTTAATATTTTATTTTGCACCTAACGCAATATATTTCTACATCACCTGAAGGTTGACTGGGAGATAATGCCTAATGGCATTAAGTCCGCCTTTGTACAACATGTGCATTAAATTTTAAATAATTAATTATTTTTTTTTTTCAAAATCCTTTTTGCTCGCATACAATAATTCACTGGTCTGTTGGTCTATTGGTTAGTGGCCCTGAAGGCGTACGTCGTGGGTTCGATTCCCACCTAGGACAAATAATTGTTTGATGAACACGGTCATTTTGTTTTGTCTGGGTATACTTCATCTATAATATGTATATATTTAGAAATTTGTAAGTATGTTTGTTGTTTGTTAGTTACTATTCACATAGAAGCATATGTACAACAAGATTTCGTTTAAGCTACTTAAGGTGTATCGGTCAGTGACCGTCACAATTTTCTTAAGTAGATAAGTCAAAGAATTTCCGGACTAAGTTTGTGTATCCCATTAATTAACGACATACCATTTTATCAAACTAAATTTACTTCTACAACTAACTTTAATGTTCTAATATAGTGACAGCTTCGTTTATAAGTAAACCAAACCCTCTTTCAAAGCCCATTAGTCTTATAAGTGTTAATAGCCGGTGCGAATAGATCAAACGGTTTGGTACCAGTCACTTCGAAGAAAGTATCTGCTTCTATTTTTGTCCGACATTTGTCAACTGCTTCTAATTTCCTTACGTCTTAATATTGACCAAGAATATCTTTATAGGATTTATTTCAGTAACGTCGTCAGTGCCAGCGTTTGCAGTAGTTTTCAATGGACGAATATTTCTATAAACATCCCATTAAGTTAAGATTATGCTATTTTGAATAAAATTGATAAAACACTCAAATAATTGAGTCAGTTTGCTTAACACAAAACAAAACAAAGTGAAAACAACGCTTGAATTAATTTATGAAGAGATGGGAAAGTTGTAGTAACAATGTGTAAAGAAGTCAAACTTATTTCATTCTAAATATTATTCATCCATAGAATGAAATTATATAAATAAAAACTAATTCAAAATATTTGGTTAGATTTAAATCTTTTCCTTTTTAAATTCTGCATTAAGTTGTCACCTTTATATTTTAAAAGGCGAAAGACGAATAAATGATTGTCAGGTAACGTTCTCCACGGCGTTCTAGAATATACTTACGAGTAAATTTATTCTGACAGTTTACAGATATCTAATTTTCTAATAACACATTAACTGATAACATAAGCCGATACTCCAGAGTACTCTAAATGTGTTTATTTTTTATTTATATTATACATACACACTAAACCATAACAAAGAAATAATATGACTACCACTTCGGTAACAAGGACGGCACGGCAGTTAGGAGTAAAAGTATTGTTCTTAATACCGAAGTTTATTTACATTGATTATTCAGGTGACTAAAGGTTAGTAATGTTAAGAAGAAAAAAAAGGATTCATACAATTATTTCATTCTAAACATCTAATATTAGGCTTTTAACAACTTAACGCATTCACAAAGTACCACATTACGTTAAAGAATATTAAGGAGACACTTAAACATTCCTAGCAGATGTTGAACACGTGTGCCTTGTGGTGCAACAGCATATTACAGTACCTATCTCACAATCATGTTAATGATTACATAATTTCCAACATATTTTGCGAGATTTTGCGAGCCGGCTAATGACGTAATTCGGATGAAACTACTGCGGTAATAGGAGTTGAAATCACTCATAATCTTATTGAAAGATGCAGGCGTTAAGTAAGATATACGTATATGACAATTTATTTTTAAATCCTGCACCATTATACACGAAGCTATGAAGCTATAAATTGCCAATTTTTTTTAAATCTTTCTTTGTGTGTTTTAAATGTTCTATATTCCAAATTATTTTAATAGGATGACAACCTATAGGCATGGTGTCAATTCGGGGAGGACCTGAAATAACATGGTCCGGGTCCTCCCCTGAGGCCGGCCGTCGGGGTGGTTTTTAGTGGAATCACCACATACTCCTGGCTCATAGTCCCCGAGGCGCAGGAGATCCGAATGGATTTTTTTTACCCCGTCAACAAAAAAAAAAAAAAGGATGACAACCTATATTATTGTAACGACATCATTGAAGTTTACAATAAAATTGAAACTAAAACACATAAAACGTCAACGGTAAGGACAGCAAAATATCGCCATATATCATTTGTACCTACCTGCCTACGGGTTGGTCATGGGAGTAATACTTGATTTCCGTGACCTCTGTGATTAGACACCTCCTAGACATCACCTCTACTTAGTAAAAATGAAGACTGCATCAAACCTTTCGGTAAGTGATGAATGGAGACATCGAAATCATTTCATATGCACATAACTACTGGTATTCTTACCACACCCAAACTAGAATTATCTATTCAAAAATACCTAAAATCAAATTATCTATATAATTTCGTTTGGTCTTACTAAAACTCAAAAAATCAATATTTGCAATTTATTATCTGGCATCATGTATTGTGTATTCACGTAGAGAAAGTACGAAGACATCGATTACATATATAGTTTTAAGGTTAATAGGAAAGTGCACACAGAGCAAACACCCGCGCAAAACATTTGCCGGGCGAGTAAACTGTCCCCGAACGAGCTCGGCAGCCTCGGTATCATCGCAAGGCTGCTGCGCGCGGCAAGCCCGAATCATTCGTTCGTTCGTTCGTTCAGATGAGAGTTAAGACACCATGGCAGAAAATGCAGTATCTCTTACGCATTTCAACACAATCAAAGAATAATTATAACAAAGATTGAGCAACATTGACAAAACATTAGCAAAGATTGACAAAACACTCGATCGTCGCCTCGGCCGAGGCATATCCACACAGGCTGAGCAGCTTCCCGCGGTAAAGGACTAGCGAGGCTGCTCGCTCTGTGTGGACCCGGCTAATGACATTTAATTAAGAGACCAACTGAAAAAATACCAAGTATTGAATTTGTTAAAATTATTCTTTTTTTTTCTGTAAAAAGACAACTCCCGCATTAGAAATATATCCACTGTCGCGGGGGACCTTACAAACATACTCGAAACAGACACAAAGAACACCCAGACTCAGAACAACAATTTGTGGATCACACATAGTGTCGTCCCATGTGGGGTTTGAACCCACAACACTCGGCGTAGTAGGAAGCGGCGTGGCGACCGCTTAAACCACTACGCCATCCATGCAGTCATTAGTTACAGTTATCACTTTTACATAATTTTTTCGACACAAATTGATGGTGTGTTAACAGCACCACCACAACAGCACCGCCAAGAGAAGAAAAACTTGAAACAAACCCTTTACCAACCCATCTGGCCAGCGTGGTATAGTAGGCCAAAACCTCCTTTCCAAGGAGAGGCCTATGTCCAGCAGTGGACTTGTAAAGGCCTTTGATGATAATGATGAAGGTTTGTAACACTACTGACGTTCGAGGTTTCAGGGTCGGCAACGCCTGGGATTTTTTTCATATGTAATCTTGTTTTTCTGAACTTTCTTACACAACTTCTTACACTGATAAAAAAAGGTAAAAACAGTTCCATTGTCGTCCATCGAAAATGGAATAGACCAATATTGGTGTATGCCGTTCTGACATTGTTACCATAGAAATTCACACAGAAATGTAGAGGACGTTTTGTTCGAAACAATAGTTTTCCGAGTTTAATGCCCATAACTTCTGTACAAAATTAAACATTACAAAATAACAAGGACGACTATTTCTTGATCAAATGCATGAATGCTGGTATAAGATACAATTTGTTTTCTTTAAAGAATACTAATAACCTAAGCATACATTAACCTACTAAACTAAACAAATATTTGTGTACGTGGCACGCTTGCGTCATTAGCGACATGGATGATGTTCGAACTCGTAACCTTTCGAAAGGTCATAAAACGTCGATGCTATGATAAGAACGTCGGAACGGAAACTAGGAAATGCAATGACGTTCGCGTTTTGCAGGTTACTTCAGTGCCCCACTTCCGACTGCGGCACTGCGGTATTATAAAATAATCATGAGAGGCGAAAAGAGCCTCAGAACTTCCAGTCTAGATAATGCATATCTGAGTGAAAATATAACAGCTGGATATGTTCCGGCACATCTTCCGTGAAAACTGAGTTCAACGGATGCCGCGATAATTAAAAAAGTTCACATATGAAAACTGCTAGACTTTTATAATCAAACATCGCTAACGATCATAAGCAAGTCTTGTAAGTTTAATTAAAATTGTAACAAGGTCAATTGTAATTTGTGGACGAGGTTTTTAATGATGAACTAGGTTTCCAAGGCAAAACATCGCATGGTTGGTGGAGAGATAAAACAGGATTTGTTGCATGTTAACTTCATCCCGTGAGTTCAAACCGCTGTAAGTCACAATATAAAACTGTCTGTCGTAACATGTAATTTAGTGCTACAGTACTTTATTGCGTTGTAGCGTTTTAGGGTACTTTTTGTAATCAAAACATGTATGTACTGTATATATGTATGTGAATCTTTTCTAATAAGTTTATACAAAGCTATACAACTACAAAAACTTTTGTCAGATACTGATCCATCGCCTATTTCAAAAGAGGAAAATGTATGAATCACAGAGTCGTAAGAATAACAATCACTTATCTACGTCATACCTATAAACCCGGACAGTTCATATTTATTTTCGCCATATCTTGTATTAGCTTTGTACGCACCATATCTACGACGCATTTCGAGTAGCCATTATTCTTAATATATAAATAAATAAATTTTCACTCGTCATTACACTGGCCACAGGCTGACTGGTCCTGGCTAAATCTCAAAAACTCGTACTGCCACAAAGTTTTTATTTAGTTTTCATATTTTTTCTTGCAAAAAAGAAGATATTTTTGTACATTTTCAAACGGTAAAGATGTTCAAAGAACCTAATAGTAATTCTTGACCGTGACCAGACTGAAAGGCAACTAAAAGTTATCTGAAGTCACTTACCGTTTTCCCAAGCCGCCTCTTTCGTCTTGAGTAAGGCCGCCAACCCAATGTTGTCCTTGGGCATGACGCGATTTAACATGTTATCTGACCCCTCACTATTCGCCATCGCTAGTTGGTTGAACTCAATAAGGTGTTCTTTAACTAACGCAAATCTGCGAAAATATGAAGATTAATTTATTTTGATGCTTTAGACTAAAACACAATAACGTAGATTTTTTTATCTCATTCACATAATTACAGTCATATCTTTACACATATAATTATAGAGACTGGCTTCTGGTGTAGGTAATACAGATCACCAGGCAATCCACCACATGACCACATTAAATGCATCTATTACACACACTGTCGTACCATTCTTCATTTATTCTTTCATCTATTTGTTTTGCATTATATTTTAGAATAAAGAAAGTAGTGTATTACATGAAAACATGAAAACATTGAAAGACAAGGTTAGGATCCCTGTAGTGTAGTTGATAATGCAATGAACCAACAAGGCTGTTATTGCTGAAGTCGCACGTCAAAGGGAAACGAAACAATCATTCTTGATTGTTCGGATTAGGAGCTCGTTACGTCACTATTTACGAGTAAATTAGTAACAAGTCAATAAAAGCGTGACATATACCATCATATCTGGGATTAAGTAAAAATAACTTTTGCAGAAGCAAGTGATTAGAGATAATTTGGGTATAGCCCGATTAAAAACTCATAGAACCGTATAAAAATAAGGAAGGTTAAATATAAAGTTTAAATCCGAAACTTCACATCTACAACTAGATATGCAAAACTCTAGACGAATACACAATCTTTAAATAAAAATTTGCCTTCTTGTTTATGATAAAAGTCGGTTTAAGTAAACTGCCCCTTATAATACTAATTCAAAGAGTAAATAGAACCGGCAATCTGAACGTACGCAACAAATAACCTTTTATAGCACATCTTACAGACGGCGAATGAAGTCATAAGCTTATAATGTTTTTTCTAGTCACCGTAAAGAGTATATTGACTTTTAACCTATACGTGTAATAGGCGATATATCGAGAGGGGCGTATTACCAGCCTCAGATATTAAGTAGGTAAATTGTAAGAGATGTTAGAACATAATTAAAAAGTATATAGCATAAAAATAGGAGGTAAGTTTTAAACTTGTTACTAAGTGTATTACCCACGCTATTATCTAACGGAATTAGCGGTAAATTTTAATTTTAATTGCATTTTGAGAAGTAAAAAAATCTTCATTTCGTTAGACCAAGCTAGTGAAATATGTAGAAGACATTTTTTCACATAAATCTCACAAAATCCCTTTAGGGATTTTATAATAACTTGCGTGAAATAAATCAAACACAAGCACAAATGCCTCCGCGGTCGGGGTTCGAACCTGAGACCCAGTGTATGCGTAATTTAAATGTATGGTATTGCAGGCTTGCAGTTTATTACAGTGTTAGTCTGCAAATAAACAAGCATACAATGTAAAGTAAAAGAGTAAATTTGTATGAACAAGTAAACCCAGTCGTTTTATTTTGATCGTTGCCTTCATAATTACCTATGTTTTATTTACATATAACCTCTTAAATTTTGTTCCAAACAAACAATTAAAAACTGTTACAGTGACAATATGTAAGTTTACAACAGAAAAAAAGGTTATATTCATATCGAAAGCATCCAAGGGAACCATATCTTTACCGAAGATTGCAGTGTTGAAGCAATTAAATTTGATAGCGATTACTCTGATATAGACTCCAGTAAATAACCGTTTAGTGCCGGTAACAGCGTAAGTAGACATTTTAAAAAGTGGAGACGCTAGCAGTTCTGTTACAGAAGTAATCTTAAGCTTCTTATACCACAGTGTCAGAAAGCACCATTTCGCGCAGAATTCTGATGCGAGTCAAGTTTGTTGACGTTGAAATAATCTAGAAGACAGCTGTAGAAAGACATGTAGTATGCTTACTTGGCAGATCTGAAGAAGATAGCGCATCCGTCGACATACTTTCTCTCAGACTCCGACATAGTTTTCGCTCGCGACTTTGGCGAGAAAATCCCGTCGTAACCATCTCCTTTTAGTTCTGGCAGGAAGAAGTTGTAGAATTGATCTGTTTCTACTTCCTAGTAAAGGGTAAAAAGTTTAGTAATGTATTTTTGTAGAATGTAGAAGTTTATGTAAAAGTAGCGCTAAAACTATTTTTTTAAAGATCAAGATATATTTATTTGCAGAACATGTAAGACTCAAGAAGAAACCTCATCAATACCTCCTTAATAAACGCAAATTAAATTTATAACCAGTTTATTATCAGAATCAAAACAACCTAAAGTATTATCTCAGTTACATCAATGTTTTTTTTTTAATTCGACATAATTAAACTGCCGACTGCACGCCACCTAGGTCAGAAAGCGTTATTTTTAATGGAAAAATAAAATATTTGGCGATTCAAGTATGTGTATTAAAAAAAAAACAATAATTGTACCTACACTCATGTCTTCATCCCCGAAGGGGTAGTGTTGACAATACCGTATTAAAATGAAAACATTTTTTGCTGACTATAATTGCAGTCGTCAACAGGACACGTTTATTTCTAATTAAACGTACTTAACTTATATTTCTAAATACATACATATTACAGACAAATAAACAAAAATGCTAGTCAGTATAAGAAGTTGTCCTTGCGATACGGTAACGACCATCCCCATGTCGAGAAATATTTACCGGAAATAGAACGAGCAAATTTTATGAATTCTTACCCATGTTTAACCTTATAAAGAAGGTTCTAAATAGCTGAGGTATAACAAAATCTGATCCTGATTTGCCAGAAGAGTGGCGTTGGCGTAATTTAATTACCTACACGGTTTCAGTTGAGATATAGTAAATTAGATTTCTAAGAAATGTGTGAGTCAGATAATACAATCATAAACTTCGTATTTTTGACATTTCTTTTTTATATTTCTGCGTATCGGCTCGACAACTTCGATTCCACGATGCAGGATTATTGGTTACTACGTAGTTCAATTCGTTATCACTTGATGATGTTAAACTATGTTTTTTTGTGCTTGGTAGTAGCTATTAAAGTAAAAAGCTACATTTAGTACAAGCACCGAGATATGGAGACGGTGAGAAATAAAAAAAAAACTAATGATTAATTACCAGTATTACTGACCTGTAAACTAATTATATCTGCAGAATAATGTCTGATTTCATCCAAAATTCCCTTCTTTCTGTAGTCCCACTCTAACGCCCAACTAGGGCAATAGCCGTACATCTGCCTTGTTGCATATTTATCACATAGAACGTTGTAGCACATTACTGTGAATATACCTGCAAAAACAAAATATATTAGTATTAAATAAGTGCAAAAGAATTCACCGATCGGTAGTATTTGTGTGCGAGTTTCCGGTCTCTGGTTTCTCGAATATTAATATTTTTATTACAGATATATATATAGCAATAGATACAAAAACTGTCCGTGTAGTGACGGATTAAGAATACGGAATGTCACTACCCTAATTCATCCCGTGGGTGTCGTATGATCCGACTAAGGGCGCAAAACAACGCAGGACACCAGCACTGCAAAAAGAAGGAAAACTTGACACAAACCCTATACCAACCCGTCTGGCCAGCGTGGTTTAGTAGGAAAAACCCTCCTTTTTAAGGAGAGGCCTATGTCCAGCAGTGGACTATTAAATGCTGTTGATGTGATACAAAAATAAACATAAAGATGATTTGATTAGGATTAAATATACTAATTATGAGAAATGTAACCGAGTAATTAAATGACAACTACCCTTAGGTTAGCGGAGTAATATAAAAAATCTATCTAACGGCCGCTATTAAACAGCTCACTAAATTAGAAAGAAGCGTTCATCTGGTGTACCGTTAGTAGACCAAAAACCGTTTCAAGAGGATAGAACTATAGAATAATGGCGATCCCTGTAAAATGTACTCTTGCGCATACGGTTAAAAACACAAATTGAACTGTAAAATCTTTTAGAAAAACACATTTTAAATTACACTTTTTAAGGTAATTGATATGTTGTGCGAGATCATTTTTTTTTTAAATTACAGGTTACAAGTCTTATATCAGTGGCAAAAATTGAGATTGTATGATAAACCGAGCGGCCAAGACGACTAGAATAATAAAGGTTTTTTTTTAACTGGCAATGAAATGAGGATTACTTTATACGATCTAGGGACTGATAGCCAAGCCCTCTCAAAGTTTCACCGGTGACTTATCACTATCCTAGCACATACGGTATTTATGTATCCGGAACTGGCCAGTTACAGAACAATGTTAAAAAAGTAATTATAACATTTAAAAATGAAACTCTTTGGCTGAAGAATATAATTTGTTTCATGTCATTTGTTTATCCATCGTGGCGTCATTTTGAAAATTGCGGGTTTGTATCACTTTGTTGGATTTGATGTGAAAATTTTCGTGTTATGATTTATTAAGATTTTCTAACTCAAAACTCACTTCGACTTTTGGGAAACTCCAACAAAAACAACTGTGCATCACTGATTTAGTGAGTTTAATAGAGTGTGGTCTATGCTCACGGACGAATTTAAAGAAGGTCGCCCGAAATCGGTTGTTGTACCTCAAAATATTGATGCTGAGTGAGAACGAATAATGCAAGATCGTTATGTTACATATCGCGACATAGAGGCGTCTCTGGGAATAAGTATGACGAGTATATGTAAGTTATTACACGAACATTTAGCTGTAAAAAAAACTGTTCACGTTGGATTCCGCACAACTGAGAATTGACCTGAAAAATGTTACAAAAGTACAATCAGGGTGCGTCAAAAGCTGTCTATGATATCTGCACAGGTGATGAATCTTGGATATATGCGTATGATCCTGAAAGTAAACAATAATCAACGGTTTGGGTGTTCCAAGATGAGCCGAACCCATCAAGTCATTCGTTCAAAAAGCACTTTAAAGCCAATTGTCGCTTGTTTTTTTTTGTATAAATGGACATGTGGCTACAGTGCCACTAGAGGATCGTCAAACAGTTAATTCTGAATGGTACACGACCATTTGTTTGCCAGAAGTCTTTGAAGTAATAAGAAAGAATAACTAACAGGGAGAATCCTTCTTCATCATGATAATGTTAGCTCCCACACATTGGCCGAAACAACTCGAATTTGAAAGATCAAAAGATCGAATTAACGGGTCATCCGCCGTACAGCCCTAACTTGGCCCCCAACGACTTCTATTCATTCCCAACCGTGAAGAATAAATTACGTGGTCAACGTTATTCGAGTCGTGAAGAGGCTGTTGATGCGTTCAAAATGCACGTTTTGGAGATACCACAATCAGAATGGCAAAAGTGCTACGAAAATTGGTTCAAATGTATGCAAAAGTGCATCGATCATCACGGCGAATAAAATTATAATAAATGCTATATGTTTGTTTTCCTTTAATCTTTTGGGATACATAAATAGCAGCCCTCGTATAACAACTCTTGAACTCGATTAAATAGTGAATAGACATGTAATTCTTTCAACACTAATGTCGCCATATATCTCACTATACCGTGTAAGGTGAGCATCAGCCGCCAATTAGCTGGCGACGCTTTGTTACCAGCGACCGACAACTCGCGTGACAAATAAAAAAATGTTCCAATTAAAATGAGACTCGTATTACGCTCCACATGCGACAGGCACGCGACATACAATGATTATGCTTTTTATTATTATACAGCACAGGTAAGGCGATGAGCCCTGCTAATGATACTAGCAATTGAAGATATTTGATTTAAAAAGTCTTCTTCCAAACTTCAATTGTTGAGGTGAACAGCATAACCTATTCAACAAAGTTTGTAATATTTATGATTATAAAGTTCCAAAACACAGGAATAAGGAAGGCATGAGGAACAATTTTCATTTGATTGATTCTATGCTTACATTAATAAAAACAATCAAGTGAAAATAGAACTTTATAAGAAGGATAGATCTATCATAATCGTTGTGTGATCGTAGAGCACTGGATTCATTTCAACGTGTCCATGTTATTACGTAAACTAACGTGGCACGACTGCGCTCTCTCACGCTCCACACCATTATCTGAGATTTATGCGGACGCTGCGCGCTCGCACCCGTCTCATTACGCGAATCAAAAGACGCGCTGCGCAGGCGGACGAGGACCGCTTGTTGACTCGTCTAAATGTCAACTTCGTAGAAGACCTTGGTGATGCAATTATCTCTCGAGTTAATCGAGCCGGTCTCAGTCAATCAACGCACAAAGAACCGGGAGTGGAGACTGAAGACAAAGCGACGCTGACGGTGCTATGACATCTAGAACGACAAGACAATGCGTAGATCGGCCGCAGAGTTGTGCTCCGGACAAATTGATAAAGATCACGCTGTGTGCCCGCGTTCATGCTAATCGACGCAAAGTCAAAGTCACCTGGCGACACTCGGCTACGATCAATACGGCCGCAGCACGTGCTTCAAATACGTCCATTGTATGCCCGATGCGAGCGTGGAGCGGGTGAGACGCGGCGCACATGCCAAATGTCGCAAAACAATACACCCATCGATAATCACCCGTTGTATAAGGAACTTCAGGCTCAACGAAAGCTCTACACTAACATAATAATAAATGGTAATGTTGTCGAACACAACTGCAGACGCGTGTCTTCATTTCAAATAAATCGACGACGATGATGAAATAGTACGTGTACAAAGCACAAACAATGGGGGAAGGTGACACTAACTGCGTGTGGTTACAATATTTCTGATAGGTACGGCCATTGTGTATCGTACGTTATGGTTTTAGCGCCTACGCGTGGCCATATCGAAGATGTCATATATACATAATATTGTAAAGTAAACTTAATAATGCGTGAAGTGAAATATAAAAACAAAAGAAAGAGCCGTGGCGTTCGATGTCGGACTAGTGTGGCATGTCACTTGGACCCAACTGGTACCCGCACTGCTCGTGCTATCATTGTATTAAATGTAGTAATCTTAGTATTAAATGTATTTTTCCATCGAAAGATCAGATCATCGCATGGTTTTTAACAATCTGTAGAAGTATGTGATTTTTTATACCAAATTGTGTCTCAAGCATGTCTCAAGTTTAGACTTGTTAATTCGATTGTGGTCACTTGAATAACATCTTTTACTTTTTGTGTTATTTCGTATTACTTTTTCTGATGAAATTGCTCATATTAATAATCTCCGTAAAGTTCTTTAAATTCTGAGTGATTGCTGGAGTATTATAATGACGGCATAGGAGTTGAATCTCAGCGGGACAATGGTTACCGTTATTCACGTAATGATTTCTTATGTCAATACGATTCGTGAGATACAAAGAAATGCTTTTTTTGCGTTGAGAACACAGCTCATTAAAATCGATTTAAGTATGCAAAGATTTCTATTTGGATTGGCGTTGTAAAGAACTCATTAGATCAGTGCGGTCGGAGTCGGGTGTGATAGACAATATGACGTAAGAAGCCTCTATGGGTGGTAATAAGACATCAGTGGGAGTTGAGATGTTACCATCACTACATTGATTTCAAGTCGGTAAGTTTAGAGTATGTATGTATTATGTATAATGTAAACCAGACTATTACCACTTTTTACAAGCTTTTATATAACATACATACATACAATACATAGTATTTTTTTTTTTGAATGTGAATTCAGATTAAGCCGATATTCATATTCTCAATGATGTAAATAAAGTAAACAAAGCCAATGATATATTCGAAAACATTAAATGCTGTTATTATGAAAATTAATATACTTTTTAAGGTAAGTAAAAAAATAATGTTTAAAGATACACTTTTAAAATCCTCAGCATACGGGCCGAGTCAAGGAGAACTGCCTACTATATTACTCCTTTAAACCAACCGTCTACCACGTGCCTTTTTAAGGTATCGGTCGAGACTCTAGGCTTTATATATAATTTTAGTTCTTTAAAGGGTATCTGTCTATCTGGGTATCTGAATTTACACGATTACATATGAGCAATCACCCCAACTAACTTAATGAAGTATTTTGTATCACATTGTATTCGTTTGTAGTATCAGTGCACATATTTAGAGCTCTCCGCTCACAATGAAGAAAGTTTCTCTCTCACTGGGTCCCTTATGCCTGATGGTCATGGTCAGCATCAGGGTTACACCAGGAACGGATGATTACTCTCCACCGCGTCCAGCTCACCTCTCAAGACCGTGTATAAATTGAAGGACGATGGGTCTTTAATTTGGTCGATCCACCTTTTTGGTGCAAGACCGCGAGCTCAGTTTCTCTAAATTTTCACTGCCTCTGCGCACTGTGTGGTCGAAAAAAGAAAGGATGTGTTGTTG